GGCAGCGGTGAGCATGCTCTGGCTTTGCAGCCAGTGGGCTGGTTCCGGTTCTTGGTTTTGCCTCAAAAAAGAATTTGAGAGGGAGTCCGAAGTAAAAGTAAGCAAGAGAGTTAATTGCAAAGTGCAAATGCACCCTGACAGCTGATCAGAGCGGCCGCTCAAAGATGAGACAGCACTGACTGACGCTGGGGAAACCCCCTTTAGGGGAGTCTTTCATGATTACTCATGCAGGGGTGGGAAGGTGTGGCTCTTAAGCATGTCCTGGGTGGTCCCTTGGGCCTGCATGCACAGTGGCTGTACATGCTAGTGCATACGTCGCATGTCTCGTTAGCACTTTTAGTCTCCACCCAGGGGAGACTGTTGTACTGACCTGTGCTCAGCCCCCTGGGTGGAGACTATTGTAATGAGCATAAGTCAACCCAAGGTCACTAAGCATGGGTTTCTGCACCTGCGAGAATGTGGGGACTTTCCCTTCTGCCCTTCTACCTCCTCGCTCCAAGATGTTCTGACCGCGAGCCCAGGATATGGTTTGTGCACTGTCGGGCGGTTTGTTCTCTCCCTCTATTTGGCAAGTTTGTTTCCCTTTAAGGGAAGCCGTGACCCGCCTGTCTAACCTGCTTCCGCTTGGTACAGCAGCACTTGGGGCAGGTGTCGATCACTTCCTGGGGTGCAGCTGCACACTCTCCGTGTATTCTTTTGTAGCCTTTCCTTTGGGTACCACCCTGGGGTCAGTGATCCTGGTTCTCAGCTGGGACAACCGGCAAACACCACCAAGAGGTTAAGATGTCCTCATTGACCACAGAGCACCAGAAGTCTTTGGAAGGCAGCCGCATGACAGACGTCACCACAAAGTCTGCATGGAAGACCAGAAACCACATCATGACAACGCAGATAACACCACAGTCATCTCAGTGACCCAGACCCCATCTGCCACATCAGCCTCAGAGAAAGAGGAGAATGACAAAGAGTCATTATTGTCCTTTTCAGTCAGGAGGGGAGGATGCTTGGTGTCCTGGAGCCTGTGTCCTGATGGCCGCATGGCTTCCCTGACGCACCCTCGGGTGCAGACGGCAGGTGCATCTGCATAAGGGGGACACCCACAGACACCTGACACTGGCTGTGCAGGAATTCCAGGGAGAGCATAACAGGATCTGATGCACAATGCTTGGGTGTTTTAGCACCAGATGTGTAAGATCTGCTCACTAATGATTTCTAAACATCACTTGAACACTTTGTGCCTTTTCTTCGGGGTCTAAGGTGCATGCTGTCGTATGTGATAGGATCTGAGGCCCAGGCGGGGTTGGCTGGCACTGCAGCTCCTCCCTGCCTGCTGCATCACCAAGGCCAGGACACCTCATGCAACCACATTCATGGCTGAGCCAGAGTGGACCCGGAGCTCCTCTCTGTCCCCTCCATGCCACCGGCCAGTCAGAGGGTGGCGGCCACCAAGCAGACGCTGGAGCCCAGAGCGGCACGGCCTCTGGGAGTCTCACCCAATTTTTAAATTCCTGGTCCTGTTTTCCAGCTGCTTTTACCCTCTCAACAGGCTACTCTTTCCTTGCACCATGAAAATATTTCTCAGCAAGGCCATTTTGAATGGCTGCAGGGCATGCTGGTATAATCCTGAAGCCAAGTTTGTATGACCAGTGTCCTTGCTGGAGTTCCAACTTGTTCCTAAATTCACTGTTAGTAGTATGTACAAAAGTTCTCTGAAAAGGACTTTTGGAGGAAAAATACTTTATTCCAGTGATCAGTTTGCAAACCACAAAGGCTCCGTGTCCGGAGGGCAGTGGCATGATCATGGTTCACTGCAGCCTCAACCCTCCAGGCTCAGACAGTCCTCCCACCTCAGCCTCCCAAAAGGGTAGTACCACAAGTGTGCACTACCATGCTAATTGTTTTTTTCTGGTAGAGACAAAGTCTGCCTATGTTGTCCAGGCTGATCTCAAATTCGTGGACTCCAGCTGTCCTCCCACTTCAGCCTCCCTAAGTGCTGAGACTGTAGGCTTGAGCCACTGTGCCCAGCCAGTTCTTTCCATTAAAAAACTATATAGAGACAATTTTTCCCAGAAGCATATCATGGGATAGGCATAACTTTCAGAGCAGTTTATGTTCACAGATTGAGCAGAAGGTACAGAGATTTTCCATATAGCAGCTGCGTTCACACATGCATAGCCTCCCCTATTACCAGCATCTCCACCAGAGTGGTACATTTGTCATATTTTATGAACCTACATTAACACGTTATTAGCACTCAAAGTCCGTCGTTTATATCAGGGTTCACTACTTTGTATACACACCAGCATGAACAGCTTTTCCCTAGTCCCATTTGTAGATCTGTAATTAATTCCAGCAGTCAACTCGTGTGGGAAAGAAATGAACCTTGGCCAGAGAAAAACCTGGCCTTCTGGAGCACCTCATCCAAAACCCCATCTCCTCGGTCAGCAATAGCATCCAAAGCCCTGGGGGCAGGAGGCGGCCTGGGGAGCAGACCCAAGGAGCTCACAATCCCTTTCTGGAGCTCAGCTTTGTAGCTTCGTATCAAGAGAGCAGAACATCACAGTCCCTCCCAAAGCAAAGTCCTGCCTGGTGCAGCCAGAGTGGACACTAATGAACAGCCACTGCGCCCCATTTATCAGGCCTGGAGACCAAGTGAAATGCTAACCTGGAATCTTTGAGGAGCTGTGCACAAGGTGGAGGTTCTAACAGTGCCCTTACCCGCATCCTCGGGGCCCTGTCCAAGCAAACCCCAGCGCCTCAAACGCATCACACCTCTAGGGGGAGCCATAGAATTGCACAATGCATCAACCCTCATCTTTGTCTACAACCTCCTGGTAGGGGTAAGAAGTGGATAGAGAAGGTGAGAGGCAGGAGGCCTCAATCAGCTTCCAGAGATGAGAGTGGAATGGAAAAAAAAAAAAAAAATAGCCTTAACAATAGCAATAACATTACGAATAACCTCAGATAATAGCTACTTCCTGTAGTTGTCATTCCTGTTTGGTGAGATTGTAAATCTTTGTTTTGGGTTTTCTTCTTTTTTTTTTCCCCCCCCCCGAGGGAGTTTAGCCCTTGTTGCCCAGGCTGGAGTGCAATGGCGCGATCTCGGCTCACTGCAACCTCCAACTCTCGGGTTCAAGCAATTCTGTCGCCTCAGCCTCCCAAGTAGCTGAAATTACAGGTGCCTGCCACCATGCTCAGCTAATTTTTGTGTTTTTAGTAGAGGTGGGGGTTTCCCCATCTTGGCCCGGCTGGTCTGGAACTCCCGACCTCAGGTGATCCAGCCGCCTCAACCTCCCAAAGTGCTGGGATTACAGGTGTGAGCCACCATGCCTGGCAAGATTGTAAATCTTGACATAGGTTAGTCTCTGGGTGACAGGGTGGGAGTCAGGTGTCAGGAAGCATTTGGGGGTCAAAGAGGATGGAGGAGATTGGTGCAGGGATCCCTGCAACTCTCTGGGTGAGTAGCAGAGGGCGCCCTGACCAGGGCAGGGAATGTTGGATACTTGGACATAAGGGGGCGTCATGGTGCCTTGGGAAGTCCACCGACTGTGCCTCAGAAGGGAAATTACTTGATCTCTGTGTGCCTCAATGTCCTCATCTGCAAAGTGGACATCAGCTCCTACCTTTATGAGCCTGAGAACAAAAGCCAGGCAGAATAAATGAACAACCACAGGAACAATAACAAACAAGGACAAGAGCCAAAAGCAAACAGAGATGAGCCCCTCTATCATCAGACCCCGAAATCCAGCCACAGTGAAAGCCAGGTCTACCCCTCAGATTTCCCAAACAACAGAAATCAAAGCTTTTTTTCATTAAAAGCAAAAAAAAAAAAAAAAAAAAAAGCCATAACATTTTGGCTGGGTGTGGTGGCTCATACCTGTAATCCCAGCACTTTGGGAGGCCAAGGCAGGTAGATCACAAGGTCAGGAGTTTGAGACCAGCCTGACCAATATGGTGAAACCCTGTCTCCACTAAAAATACAAAAGTTAGCCAGGCTTGATGGCGGGTGCCTGTAGTCCCAGCTACTTGGGAGGCTGAGGCAGGAGAAGTGCTTGAACCTGGGAGGTGGAGGTTGCAGTAAGTGGAGATTGTGCCATTGCACTCCAGCCTGGGTGACACACACACACACACACAAAAAGAATTAGCTGGGTGTGGTGACCTGTGTCTGTAGTCCCAGCTACTCGGGAGGCTGAAGTGTGGGGAGAGCTTGAGCCCAGGAGGTTGAGGCTGTAGTGAGCTATGTTCACGCCACTGCACTCCACCCTGGGTGACACAGTGAGACCCTGTCTCAAACAGAACAAAACCAATCCCTTCCCTGAGAGCAGGCCTACTCCCTATGACAGGCAGATGATCACCCACATAGCCTGACCTGGAAGGCCGCGGCTGCCCTCAAGGGGGCTATCCCCACTTAACACCCCGTTCCTAAGGCCAACTTCTGCCAGGCCCTCCTGGCAGCTGCCTGCTTCTCCCCCGACCTGGTAACCAGGCTTTGGGTTTTCACAGAGCCACTCCTTCTGGTGGGTGACTATTGCAGCTGCTGCCGGAAGCTTCCTGCCCCCTCCCCAGTGGATATTTTTTTAAAGTTGCTGAGGTGTCAGGGATGATGATTAACCTTCATTAAGCCCCCACAGCCTGCGGGTGCTGAGAATATTCGTGGGCCCTCACCTTTCCAGCGAGAACACAGAGGGGCCTCCCTCTGGGGGAGGTTTGGGGACGCAGGTGGGTGGGGTGCTGACGGCATTGGTGTGGGAGTGTGGAGCCCAGAGGGCTGGCGGGACAGCAGGTGGGGCGGGTGCTGTGCGCCATGAGATCAGGCCCGGCTTGTGACGCATGTGGACATGTGTGAGGCTGCTGTTCGTCTGTCATGGCCTGGTGGCGGCTGATGTTGACAGGTGCCATCTGGTCTGGGTCACGTGGTGGCAGGCAGCATCACTGACTCATGGGCTTGACAGCTGTCCAGCTGGGAACACAGGGCTCCTGGGGGTGGGGTGGTTAGAGGCATCTGTCTTTGGGAACTGGAGGGCTGGGGGTGGCGGAAGGCCCTGCGTGGGGAGGCTGAGGATGGGGGGTATGGTACACCAAGACAGATGGTGTGTGAGGCTCTGAATCGGTTCCCCAGTCTCCTCTCTGACCATCTGGAGGGCCCCCCATTCCCGAGGAACTGTTCCCTGAACAAGCAAGTATGCAAGGGCAGAGGATCAATTTCAGACTCAGGAGCCCCCACTGAGGGCCCCTGTTGAAGGGTCAGAGGGGGCCGGCAGGGCCTGAGGGACATCCTACCACGCCTTGCTTCCTCCCCATGCTGCTGCAGACAGGCTCTGCCCAGGACCTTTGTGATGGGCAGGTCACCCTGACTGGAGGTGAGGCGACCTGCCTGGAGCCACGCGGCGCCGGCTCCGTGAGCAACTGCACTGTCTTCTGAACCCCAGGCCCTCCCCACCCCATCACTTCCCTGGGGGTCTCAGATGGGCAGGAATGGGGTCTGGAAACTTCCTGCGAGAGCCAGGCAGTGACAAGTATGAGCTTTGTTTTCTTTTGCTAAAGATATGAGTGTACTTTTGTGAGAATGTGAGCGTTACATATGCGTTTGTGTGTTAGTGTGTGTGAATATGTGAATATGAGTGTGAGTGAGCATACGTGTGTGAGAGCATTAGTGTAAGTGCATGAGTGTGTTTGGGACTGTGAGTATATGTGTCTGAAAGTATGAGTATATGAGTGTGTGTGTGAATGTGTGAGAGTTGTATGTGTAAGAGTGTATATGTAAGTGATGTGTGTGTGATGATTGTGTGTATGTGTGTGTATGTGTAGGTGTGTGTGAGTGTGTGGGTGTGTGTTAGAGTGTGTGGGCATATGAGTGTGTGAGTGTATGTGTGTACATGTCTATGTATGGAAGTGTATATGTGCGGGTGTGTGTTGGAGTGTGTGGGTATATGAATGTATGAATGCAAGATTATGAGTATGTGTGAGAGTGTGTGTGTAAGTGTGTATGTGTGTGTCTGTGTGTTAGAGTGTGAGCATATGAATGTGTATGAGTGTATACGTGTGTATGTCTGTGTGGGTGTGTGTATGTATTATGAGTGTGGATGTGAGTGTGTAAGAATGTATGAGTATATGTGCTTGTATGTGTGAGTGTGTGGGTGTGTGAGAGTGTATGTGTGTGTCTATGTGTGTGTAGTTATGTGTTAGTGTGGGGATATTACTATGAGTGCATGAGTGTGTAATTATGAGTGTGTGTCTGTGTGTCTCTGTGTGGGTGTGAGTATATGTGTTGATGGAGTGTGAGTGTATGAGCGTGTATGAGTGAATATGAGTGTGCGTATGTGTGAGTGTATGTGTGTATGTGAGTGTATATGTGTGTGTATCTCTGTGTGTAAGTGCAGAGTATGTATGTATGTGTATGTGTGAGAGTATATGTGTGTATGTGAGAGTGAATGTATATGTGTGTATGTGTGGGTGGGTGTGAGTAAGTGTGGCGTATGTATGAGTGTGTGTATGTGTGAGTATATGTGTGTATGTGAGTGTGAATGTATATGTGTGTATGTGTGGGGGTGTGTGAGTGTATGAGTGTGGAGTGTGTATGAGTGTGTGTATGTGTGAGAGCATATGTGTGTGTGAGAGTGAATGTATATGTGTGTGTGAGAGTGAATGTATATGTGTGTATGTGTGAGGGTGTGTGAGTGTATGAGTGTGGAGTGTGTATGAGTGTGTGTATGTGTGAGTGTATGTGTGTATGTGAGTGTGAATGTATATGTGTGTATGTGTGGGGGTGTGTGTGAGTGTATGTATGAGTGGACGTGAGTGTGTGAGAATGCATGTGTGTGAGTGTGTGAGTGTGAGAGTGTGAGAGTGGAGAGCGTGTGAGTGTGTGTCTTTAGCATCCCAGAGAGCCAGGGTGGGAAGGTGTATGTGTTGCTCACCTGGCTGAGGCTTGGGTGGGATGCTGAAGGAGCTGTGCTCAGGAAAGGCTATGTGAGCCCCTGGGCCAAGCAGCCTCCTAAGGGGCCTGATGACAAGGTGTGGTCCCTCTGGCAGATGGCCTTGCAGCAGAGCCATGCCCTCCTGGTGGGCTCTGGCACTGGGGGCAAGGGTTGGCATTGAAGAACATGGCACGCTGCCTCCTAAGCACAGAACTGCATTGGGCAGAGTGCAGCTCCTGGTAGGACAGTGGAAGTGGAGGCAGGCGGAGAATGATCGTGCGTCTCCCTGAGTGGTCACAGGCTGATGAGTTCTGACCATGAAGACGATCAGCCACAGTTCATTGCAAGCAACAGAAACCAGATCTGGCTAATTTAAGCAGAAAGGATTTTTTTTTTTTTAGACAGAGTTTTGCTCTTGTTGCCCAGGCTGGAGTGCGATGGTGCAATCTCGGCTCACTGCAACCTCCACCTCCTGGGTTCAAGCAATTCTCTTGCCTCAGCCTCCTGAGCAGCTGGGATTACAGGTGTGTGCCACCAGGCCTGGCTAATTTTGTGTTTTCAGTAGAGACGGAGTTTCTCCACGTTGATCAAGCTGGTCTTGAACTCCCAGGCTCAGGTGATCTGCCCACCTCAGTCCCTCAAAGTGTTGGGATTACAGGTGTGAGCCTCCATGCCTGGCCAAGGAATTTATTAAAGGGACTTGGTCACTCACAGAATCATCAAGTGGACCTGAGAATAAAACTTAGCGCCCACCCAGCCAGGAACCACAGAGAAAACCGCCCCATGGCCCTGGGCCCACAAAGCCCCCAGGCCCCCCCACCGCTGCTTCTCGGCCACAGCCCCCGCTGCTGCTCCTCACCACCCTCAGGAGGGATCTGCGTGATCCGTTCTGCTCAGCAGTTGTCATTTCCCATTCCAATCTGACGTGGGTGTATCTGGAGGCGACTTCCAGGTCACAGGCTTCCACCCCACTTGCGAGGGATGCTGGGAAAGTGAGCTTCCAGTGTTCTTGGCTGCTTGGGAGGAGAGTGGGTTCTGTTTTGAAAGGCAGGTGGATTCTCCAGCATAGTCAGGGGCTTCAGAGGCTGGGAGGCCCAAAGAATTCAAATGTCCTTCCCACTAGGGTTCCCATCACTAAGAAGGACATTTGTGGGGTGCATTCTGTGAGCAGGGGTCTGTAGGTGCTTCTACGCACTGTTAAAACTCGTACTCTGAATGAAGAGACCTCCCCAAACAGGCTTTGTGTGAGCAACATGACTGTTTATTCACCTGGGTGCGGGTGGGCTGAGTCCAAAGAGAGTCAGCGGAGGGCGGTGGGATAGGAGTTGGTGTTATAGGTTTTGGATAGGCAGTGGAAAGTTACAGAAGTTACAGTTTAGGGCGGTTTTTTGCAAGCTGAGAGGGCGTTGTGGGTTTGCAAGCTGGGAGGGGTCCGTAAGGTCTGGAGTCATGAGGTTGACCAAGGTCAGTTACAAAGTCCAGTGGCCTTATCAATTGAGGCCAGAATAAGAAACAATAGGAGAATGTCTCAAGTTGGTTAGGCGCTGCAGGGGTTGATCTTTCTTCCACTTTTCATGGTCTTCCAGTTACTTCAGGTTTTCTAATTCCAGAAGGCCCTCCAGAGGTGTACGTGCAGGTCCTGGGGATCACCATAGCATCCACCGTGCTGTCAGCCTAAAAGACCTTACACACACCTAGGGAGTTTGCTGTCGGCCTGTAAAGACCCTTTATGGGACATGAATCAAAGGTGCCATTCCTTGAGATGCTTAACTCCAGTGTAGGATCCTGGTGTCAAAAGGAACCTTTAGATATGGCCCTACTGTACGTAGCATGACGTGTATAGCCAGAACAAAGCAGGTGTATGTGAGTAGGAACTTCATAAGCCATACTCAAGAGCTCAAAGGTGTATCTGGGGGCTGGGCACTGTGGCTCACGCCTGTAATCCCAGCACTTCAGGTGGCCAAGGCAGGTGGATCACCTGAGGTCAGGAGTTCGAGACCAGCCTGACCAATATGGCAAAACCCTGTCTCTACTAAAAATTAGCTGGACATGGTGGCATATACCTGTAATCCCAGCTACTTGGGAGGCTGAGGCACGAGAATCCTTGAACCCAGGAGGCAGAGGTTGCAGTGAGCCGAGATCATGCCACTGCACTCTAGCCTGGGTGACAAAAAAAAAAAAAGTATATTTTTGTCTATTAGTAACTGGATTTAGCAAAGATGTGGACTCCCCCAGCCTGATCTCGGCTACACCTGTGTCTGTCCTGCAGGTGTGGAAACTTCTAGATGCTCCCCCTTGTGAGTTCACCTCTGTGTCTACTACTGAGGCCTCTCCGTACAGGTAGAGTGACTTGTGGTGTAGCAGGAGTGGCTGTGGGAAACAGAGCTCTCGAACGCTGAATGGGGAAGGAAGGAGTTTATTATTATTGTGATTGTTACGGCCGGGAGCCGGGCGTTGGTCCCAAATTACTCAGCTCATCTAACAAAGGAAGGTTCTGTCATTATATAGGCTTACACTCCAGATATTACACATAGAGGAATTTTAGGTTTATAGCCTTAGAAATCACAATTGAAAGGGTTTTGGATTTACAGCTTTAGGAATCACATGTGAAAAGGTTTCTGGGTTTTACAGCTTCAGAAATTACATATGAAAAGGGTTTTGGGTTTATAGTTTTAAGAATCACATGTGAAAAGGTTCTGGTCTCTGGATGGAGGTTTGATCTTGTTTTAAGTAAAAACAGTTTCTTCCGGAGAGTTTCCCCTATACCAAGCGTGTCATTTATAGGAAGGTAAATTCAGGAGGCGCCAGTTGGCCAGTCTTTTCTTCTATTGAAATGCACTGTGGAAGTCGAGGGGGGAGTTGACCCCAGATGCCTGGGTCTCCTTCCTTAGTGGGAAGCCTGTTACATCCTCAGGCCACACCTGGTAAGGGAAGTGCAGGTGGGTCCCTGCTGCCCTGGTGTCCCCCAAATATACATGGGGGTATATACCTTTTCTAATGCCACCCCAGGGGGTATATACCTTTTCTAATGCCATCCACCCAGATGGGGCTGACGACTCATTTTAGGTTGGGCATTTGTGTTTAGGGGTGCTGCTTGCCCCTTCTCCCCACCTGCTGCTTGAACCTTAATTTCCTTTTGGGTGGTATCTTCTGGGATGACACATCCTTCCCCTCTCCAGGGCTTATGGCATCAGCTCTCAGCTCTCGAAGTTCAAAGCCAAGCTTTTTTGGCTCTACACAAAAGATTTCTCTTTCAAAACCCG